ATGGACAACAGGCATCAAGATTGAAGTGTTGCCACTGTGTTAGAGATGATGTAGTTCTCTGATTGCTTCTATTTTCTAAGAAAAATAAGAGGAGAGATCTTTACAGAAGAGTGAATAGAGGATGATGGATGCTTAAACACAAAACAGAAATCATGAAAATAGTTGTGATTGATTGAGGAACTATCAATTAATAATTGGCAGTAATAGACAGATTCCAAAATTGTTTGCTTGCATCATAACCATTGTAATACTCTTCCTTGTATCCACTTTCTCTACTCTCCTTTTCTTAACCTGTGACTAAATGACCTTCAGTTATCCCCAGATCATCCAAAGGTTTAATTAGAATTAACAAATCAGTGCCATATCAACTTTATACCAAGAACCCTGGAAGGAGGGAAGCCTGAGAGAGTGTAGGTCTCAAGGTACGGTTATATCCTTGGTTATCATTCCACCACTTCACCCTCTAGTCGTCCATGAGGAAGGCCTGTTACCATTTTCTATGCATAATAAAGAGCTCAGAGAGAGTTCCACTGGCTTCTCATCCCTCTCGAAAGGCCAAACTCCCTGCCTCTGTGACACTTACACCTCATAAAAGATTGCTTTACAAGGTTGTCACTGTTGTAAGACCTGAATTAGGACTACTGAGCACCCATTTTTCTGAAATAATCAGTAGAACTCTAACTTCGTCTTGACTATATATATATCATGTATGATCATGTATACTAGCATATATGATCATATGGATATATCATATACATATATATGATCATATATGATATATATATATTTGGGGGGGGACACAAGGGATGCTCAGGGGCTATTTCTGGTCCATATTCAGGAGTGACCAATGCAGTATAGGGGGACTATATATAGTGTTGGGGATTTGAGCGTTGGTGGGCTATAAGGCAAGTGCCTTAGCCCCTATACTATCTCTATGAATTCTTCCATACCCTTTTAACTTAGTCACTATGAGAAATTTGAGACCATCTCAAAGGCAGCATATTTTAGAAGCAGGAAGAAACGGCTAACTCCACTCCAGTACACATCCCTCCAGAATGAACAAAGGGTGATCAATGATACAGTCCAATGCTTCAGAAGACACTACATGTATAACTAGGGAAGATAAAATGAAATTGCATTGAGGAACACACACATTTTTCTCTGCTATAGGCAGGGAAGAAACACATAAGAGGCTATACTGATAGTGATAGTACAAAAAAGGGAAAAATAAATCTACAATAAGGAGGAATTGTTCAGTCATGTTACTGAAAAAAACAAGTCATACATAGATATAAAATTTTGAGTCTACATTAGGTGGTCCTTGATAATATTTTTGTTTGTTTTTAATAAGGGCTGGAGCGATAGCACAGTGGTAGGGTGTTTCCCTTGTACCCAGCTGATCCGGCCGACCTGGTTCGATTCCTCCGCCCCTCTTGGAGAGCCCAGCAAGCTACCAAGACTATCTTGCCTGCACAGCAAAGCCTCACAAGCTACCCATGACGTATTCGATATGCCAAACACAGTAACAACAAGTCTCACAATGGAGATGTTACTGGACCCACTCAAGCAAAGTGATGAACAACAGGAGGACAGTGCTACAGACAGAGCAGTTTTTAATAAGGTCCACTCCTAACTTTGCTGGAGAGGGAAGGGAATGCAATGTGATGTGACATAAGTCAACTCAGGGACTTGCTCATGCCAGGCATATGTGGTACCACTTGAACTAACTCCCTGGTCACATGCTGAAGAGCAGTTTCTATGTATTTGTGTGGTAAAGTGAAAGGATGAAAGACAAAAAGGAGAGATTCTCTTGTAGAAAAATTAAGGTATATAAAATAATAATAAGGGGGAGGACCCAGGGACTGAAGTGATAGCACGGCGGGTAGTGCGTTTGCCTTGAATGTGGCTGACCCGGATTCAATTCCCAGCCTCCCACATGGCCCCCCAAGCACCACCAGGAGTAATTCCTGAGTGCAGAGCCAGGAGTAATCCTTGTGCATCGCCGGGTGTGACCCAAAAAGAAAAAAAAAAAGAGGGGGGCCCAGGGAATGGCCCAGCAGCTAAAAACACTGCATGCCTGGCAAGCATGCAGCCAGGAATTTGATCCCCCGTGCTGTCCACCAGCCTGGTCCCAGTGGTTCTGCAACAAGGGTGCCTTCTTTGGCTCAGAGCCATGTGTGTGTGAGAAATGCAGAGAAAGCTCTGGCTAGCGCTGCAGTTAAAGGTGTGTGCACTGCAACCAGAATGTGAGTGAGCACCACAACTAACGGCATGAACTCACATGCAAGCTCTGCAATCAAAGTGTACAATCCCTGGCATGTACCATGGGCCGTGTGCAGGTATTTCAGCCTCACATGTGTGACCCTAGGTCATCACAACCACAACAAATGGGAGGGAATGGGGGAAATGATGAAAAGAGATAGAGAAATAACTAGAACAACTAATCAAGAGAGAATTGTTTTGTTTTCCTTTTTACGACAAGCAGGATGTTTATAAGCTAAGTATCTAGTAGAAAGGAGAAATAAACGATAATAGGGAATAATTATTTGAGGAAGTCTAGAAGCAGGCTAATCAGAGCACAAGTGAATGTATTGAACTTGTATGGAAGGAATGGCCCATTCTAAGCTATATGGGAAGAAGGGTTTGCAACAAAGGGTTTGCAAGGATTGCAACAAAACTGAAGAAAAGTTTATACTAAGGTACAAAAAAAATGCTGAGAGTTTAGCTTACTGGAGCTTAAATTTTCAAAGATTTTAACCTGTTGTTATAAAGGGATTGAGATGGATTTAAATCCATCTTAAATTAGAGATGGACTTAAGAAAACTTGTTCTATGCTCAGCTGAAGTTGGAGAGCTTATGTACACTTGGGACCATGAGTGATTTTCCTCTGATGAACAGCACTCCAGGGTGGGGACAGAAGTTTGAATTGACATAGGAACAGGGTGTTTAGTAGAGTCAATACTATGAAATAACTGGGGAGGAGGGAAAGGGCTGATGAAAGAACTATTATAGTGGTGTAGGCGCAATAGGAAAGAAAGCAAGGACAAAAGAGGGCTGATGATCTGGGAGAATCAAGATACTGGAGGCAGGCACAAAGGTAAGAGCAGAAGAGGTGAGAGCAAAGATGTGAGGCACAGAAGGATAAGACACTGTTGCAGAAAGTGGCAACTGAGACAGTTTATCTTTAAGATGAAATAATTCCAGAGAACAGGAAATCCAGTGTGTGACTGAGGTTTTTGAGTCAATCACATGAGAAACAAAACAGGAAGCATTTTTGCACGAAGATGGAATCGTCTGAAGCAGTAGCAAGAAACTAGAAAAATATAAGACTTTCTTTTATAGTTTCATCTTTATCTACCTAGTTTCATTCTTCTTTTTTTATTTTTAGGTTTTGGGGGGCCACACTTGACTGTGCTCAGGAATTACTCCTGGCTCTGTGCTCAGGGATCACTCCTAGCTGTGCTCAGGGAACCATGGATAGTGCAGGCTTTATGCATGAGAAGTTCCCTAACCCCTCATTTACCTCTCCATCCCCTTCATCTACCTAGCTTCAATCCTCATCATTCTGTTTGGATTACAGAAATACTCTCCTAATCAGTTTGTCTGACTGTTTTTGTCCCTCTCCGATATATCTAGTGCATATGTGACTGCCAATTTAATCAGTGTAGAGTTTCCTGGGTAATAATTCATTCTTACTCCCCTCCTGCCTACAGAATATAAGCTATATTCCTTAGCCCTATCCACAAGCTTTCCATGCACATAACAACTCTTAGTCTATGTTACTTTGTTTTATGTGTCTAATTTGAGGCAACTTCAAGTGTTTAACATGTATTGGCTGAAATTCTATACTTCTTGGCTAATACTAATCTTGAAGAACTTTCTCAAATGTGATTTTGTAAAGTCAAGAGTGGTCTTCCTCCCATTTCAGAATGTAATACTTCAAGTACCTAGTCAAATGCAGTCTGTCTTATCTCAAATCACCTTTGACTTCTCTGCCTGTCTTTTGTAAAAATTTTACTTTAAGCTCTACATTGCAATCATGTGCCTATCAAGCAAGAACCATTCCTAATATGTCATTGCATGCTGCCTGAGCAGAACATCCAGCTCAGTATCTTGTCCTTTCTAAGTATCCAAAGTATACTGACTAAATGAATGAATGCATTAAGAATTTGATAAAATTGTGGCTAAGTGAACCTCTTGCAATGTTCCAATAGTGTTAAGGACCAAAATTATCCACTAGAAGGTGAAGTCATCAGAGATGTGACAGTGGTAGAGCACCTACCTTGCATGTGTGAGACTCTGGTTCTATCCTTGGTGAAAAGGAGAGTGGAGAAAAGAAGAAAAGAAAGAAGGAAAGAAAGAGAAAAAGAAAGAAAGAGAGAGAGAGAGAAAGAAAGAAAAAAGAGAAAGAGAAAGAAAGAAAGATGAGAGAAAGAAAGAGAAAAATGAAAGAAAGAAAGAGAAAAATGAGAGAAAGAAACAGAGAGGAAGAGAGAGAAGGGAAGAAGGGAAGGAGGCAAGAAGGGAGGGAGGGAGGAAGGGAGGAAGAAAGGAAGGAAGGAAGGAAGGAGATAGTTTTTTTAAGGTGTAGAATTGATAAATGATGTAATAAAGTGCTTTGTTTCAGGAAATAATTCCAGGCTAAGTACATAGTAGGTACTCAATACAATCTTGATCAGTAGAATTGAATCACAGTCATCTCAACTATATCAGTCTTGGGTACTGCAAAGAGTGACCAGGAGGAGCTCTGACATAACAATAGCTCTTTACATTCTGACTTGAAATAAATTCTGATTAGATAACTAGATAGCAACTCCCTTAACAGAGACCTGTTTGTTCATTTACTTCTTTGATTAGTCGAGTCATATAATTAATTATGATTGATTTCTGTGATCATTCTATTCTCGGCTCTGAAAGGAGGGGAATGCAATCTATGAGAAAAGCAGACATCTCATGTTAATCAAGTAATTGCCTCTTTCATTCTCTCCCTGTTTGTCCAGGTTGTGACAACATGCTGATAGGCATAAAGTCTCTGAAAATAGTGAAGAGGACTATGGATGCAGATGGCTCTTGGATGAAAGATATTGTCAATGACTCCCCCAAGGTTTATCTCTTAATTGGATCCAGAAACAACACTGTTTGGGAATTTGCAAACATACGGGCTTTTGTGGAGGATAGCACCAAACCAGGCCCCCGGAAGCTAATCCTCACACATTCCTGGCAGGGAACAGGTCAAGTGGTTCACAAAGGTTTTTTGTTTTTTCACAACCAAGGGACTCCCAATGAGATAATCAAATACAATCTGCAGAAGAGGACTGTGGAAGAGCGAGTGCTGCTCCCGGGAGGGGCAGGCAGAGCACGGGTCTACCAGCACTCCCCCGCAACTTTCATTGACCTGGCTGTGGATGAGCACGGGCTCTGGGCCATCCACGCGGGGCCAGGCATCCAGGGCCATTTGGTTCTCACAAAAATTGAGCCTGGCACACTGGGAATAGAGCATTCATGGGATACTCCCTGTAGAAGCCAGGGTGCCGAAGCCTCGTTTCTCATCTGTGGGGTCCTCTATGTGGTCTACAGTTCCGGGGGCCAAGGCCCCCATCGCATCACCTGTGTCTTTGATCCACTGGGCGCTATCAGAGAGGAGGATCTGCCCAATTTGTTCTTCCCCAGGAGGCCGAGAAGTCACTCTGTGATCCATTACAACCCCAGAGATAAACAGCTCTATGCCTGGAATGATGGAAACCAGATCATTTACAAACTTCAGACAAAGAGAAAGCAGCCTCGGTAGTGATGCGTCACAGCAGGAGGAGCTCGGAGGACCTGAAGGCCACTCCCCACCGGAACACAGCGCTGTTCTCAGTGTAGCCTGGGACAAAATCCAGTAATGGGAACATATCCGTTCCAAGATATCACAGTGTTAGGTAACTTCCAGGATCTGGGATCAGAATCCGTCTCCAGAAAATTTTTGAACTTCCGTTACACAGCCAAACCTTCTAGCTTTCAAGGGCTTCTACATTCTGATCTAACTTTTTCTGTGGCCATTATTTACTTTAACTTTTCTCCTTTTCTCAGCCACTAGGAGAAAAGTCGCCCCATAATAGCGACTCTATCTTTTACTGAAAATCTGCCCCCTCTTACTGTTGTTATTGTTCCTTGCATTAGTTTATTGTGGTGCTGAGAATTGAACCCAGAACATTATATAATTGAACTATGCACGCTAACTGAGCTGTGTCTCTGGCCACATGCATGGTTATTGATATTCTTTCACTTTTTGATGCCCAGCTACTTTTTAAACTTAAAATTTTTGGGGGGGGTGCTGGAGAGATAGCACAACAGATAGGGCGTTTGCCTTGCACACAGCCGACCCGGGTTCGATTCCCAGCATCCCATATGGTCCCCTGAGCACCGCCCGGAGTAACTCCTGAGTGCAGAGCCAGGAGTAATCCCTGTGCATTGCCGGGTGTGACCCAAAAGGAAAAAAAAATTGGGGGGAAGGGGTTGCTCCTAGCTTCTCACTCAGGAATTACTCCTGGCAATGCTTAGAGGATCATTTGGAATGCCAGGAATCAATCCTAGGTCTGGTGCATGCAAGGCAAGTGTCCTACCCTCGGTACCATCTTTCTGACCCCATATTTTTTAAACATTTAAATTTTTGTAATTAATTTTTTACTGGAGTGACATTTTATCATATCATTTTATATGTTTCAGGTACAGATTAATCAATAATTACACATACTACATTAGATTCACCACTAAAGTTCAAATCTGTCCATCACCATACAATTGTACCCTTTTACCCAATTTACCTACCAGTACTTTCTGATATTTTTTTTTGAGAGGGACTCCTAAGTGGTGCTCAGGATGTCTGGGGACCCCACTGGTGATTCTCAGTCAACTGGGATGGCAATTCAGAGCAAGGGCCTGAGGTTTCGATACTACTCTGGCCCTGCGGTGCTCAGAATCACTGGGAGTTATTGGAAGCCCCCAGGGCTGTACCCTCTAATGCTCAGGGGACTATGTGATGCCAGGAATCCAACTAGGGCTGTGTACAAACTGGACATGCACCCTGACCACTATGCTACCTCCTGGCCCCATTAATACTCTTTCTTATATAATTTTGTCAGAATCTTATATAATCCTGATTTCCTCTGGCCCTGGTCCTCCCCCCAGCTAGGTAGTTGTAACAGTAGAGTAAAAATATTAACACCTGCTTATCACTTTCCAGTTATAAAATTTGTGCATGTATGTTGCTTCCTTTAATTCCAGCTCTCTCTTGTGAGCTACTAAGAATGATCTTTATAATGGCTGTTTCTAAATGAAAAAGTGTAGGTGAGCTATTCAAAGTGTCATAGTCACAAAAGAAGAGATGATGCAAGAAAATGTAGCACACCTCATAGTCTTTCCATCGCCCAAGAGAACATCAAATATGTGTATTTGTTCTCCCAACGTCTCAAAAGTAAAAGGTTCCTTGTTTCAGCCTCAAGTCCATTTTCATGTCTGTGCAAGACCTTCCAATAGGCCTTTCAAAAGCAACTTCCTCCCAAAAACCAGCCTAAGGGGTAGGACCTGCCTTTAGCTTTATCTAGTCTTATCCCCCCCCTCCTCATTTCTCTGCTTCTCTCTTCTCGCTGGAAATACAATAAAACTGGCACTTGGCAAATAAACTTCATCAGTTTATATTTGCCTACATGATCTCTACATAAAAACCTCTAAGGAATCTTCTACCTATGCTGAGTTTATTGTGAGCAATTCCCAACACGTGGAGCCCCTGGCAAATATGCTGACTCTGGGTGGCAGCCAGCTGCAGGCCAATGACTCTCTACCCCAGGAGGTGGTGCCCATGGTCCAGAGGGCAGAGGGCATCTGCACCTCCCCAGAGGTGCTGCTTTAAAACACTTCTCTTGCCTTTGTCCAGTTCAGCCCCATTTGGATCACAAGTCCAGGGTGCAGTGCCAGCTTGTGTCATGTGTCTTTCCAGGTTGGTCACATGAGACGGTTTGGTTTCTGGGTGTGCAGCTGTTTTCCTGACTCTGCCAAGCCTAGGCAGGGACAAGAGGCCTTTCTTTACCCCCAGACCATCTGAGTAGATGCTGAACAGAACAGAATAAGTTTCCCTGGGATAGAGGATACTTAACTACAATTCTAAGAGACACAGAGAGTCCTATCTACTATGGAATGAGGTAGATATGAATAGATGAATAAATACACTTGCTGATCCACTCCACGAATGTGAGGGTATTGCCTACCCCATTACCTACATAGGTACAGGGTGACTGGGTCACAGAGGGGCTTGTGTGAGCAAGGCTTATGTCCTGAACCCATAGCTCCCTCAGAGGTCGAGAAGAGAAGTCTGTAAGGTGCTCTTTGCCTTTCACCTGTGATTTGCTTTGACAGTTCTGCAGCGTGTCTGCATTTGCTGCTGACAACCCTCTCCGATGCCTTAATATCCTACAAGGAAAAATCATTTTATGCTTTTTGTTTTGAGGCTACACTCAGTAGTGCTCCGGGCCGACTCTTGACTCTGTGCTCAGGGATCACTCCTGGAGGGCTCAGGGGACCATATATGGTGCAGGGAAGAGAACATCGGTCGGCCTCATATGAGGCAAGTACCCTACCCGCTGTACTGTTTCTCTGGCTCAAAAAGATCTTCTGGGTTAAGACATTTTCTCCAGGAAATCTCTGGAAATGTGTCACCTGAGCTGTGGGTTTAGGACATAAGCCTTGCTTACCTTCTCCAGATATCAGATATCAGCATGCAGACCCTCAAACACTTTCTTAAGCTTCTTTCAGGTAAGCTCTGGATTCTAGTAGGACACTCCACTGTCCTGTACTAGTGGTTCCTAAACTTGGACAAGTAGTTGCTAAGGAATCATGCCAGGGGGAAGGTGCAGTAACTATGTACATCAAAGCACAAATGTTAACCCTACCATAACCATGTTACCTAAACTACAAAAAAAAGGTTGGGATTTTTTTGTTTGCTTTGTTTTTAAAGAATCACACCAAGTGCTTTTCAAGATCTTCATGCCAGGTCATCCCCTCTGGAGGAGGTGAGACCCAGGCAAGTATTTTTAAAGCCCCCTTTCCCCAAGATGGTCCCAAGTGTGATTATAAGTGTGATTATGCTGGAAATCCCATGGCACCATTGTTTAGAGTGAAAAACAGCTCCATTTTGAAAAGTAGTCCTTAAAAGGTAATTGCAGGACCTGGGTGGGGGGTGGAGGGGAAGTTAAGTGGGTATAGGATGCTTGCCTTGCACGCAGCAGACCAGAGTTCTAGCTGACCCCAGTTCCATCTCCAGCACCCCATATGTCCCCCTGAAACCCCATCAGGAGTGTTCTCAGAGTACAGAATCAGGAGAAATTCCTGCGCACAGCCTGGTGTGGCCTAAAATAACAAAACAAAACAGAAGTAATTGCATGTTTCTGAGTGCAGACCAGGCTTTCCTGGAGGCTGGGTCAGGGTAGTATGTCTTCTGGAGCAATGACACGTGGGATTTAGAAACACCCATGAACTCGTGTGAACTGTGGCTTTGCAGTCCACATAACCTCGCTGCTGCTATTTTAAGGAAGTGCAAGAGAACTGAAGGTTGTCCTGTTGTAATACAACCCCACATGCCTCGGTGTTCCTCTACTGCCTTTGCCTTTGGATCTGCATCTGGCCAGGGTCCTGCCGTGACCAGTCTCCTATTTGCCAGGTGGCTTACAATCTGTTCATATGTTAAAGTGTCTTCTGGGCCCACAAGTAGTGTCAGACCACAGTAACTTAAAAAGAGAGGTGTTTTGTGGCTTTTGTCAACTCTCCAGCTTGTAGATCAAAGAGGAGGCCAGGGTTGGCGTGACTCCTGCCATAGCTGGGGACTATGCCAGCGTCCCTGCTCTGTCGTTGCCATCGAGGCCCAAAGGGATTTTAATCAGCTGAACTAACTGCGCAACCAGCCCTTGGAGACCCAGGCAAGGCGGAACCTTAGCATTACAACCCAAGGGGATCAGGCCGTTCACTGCAGGGGGCGTTGGACATGATCTCCAGGCCCATCCTGAACCCACCCTAGTGCCGATAGCTGGATCAGACTGTCAGACGGCCAAAGCTTTTCTGGTGAATTCAAGGTTTTTCTGTAATTCACCAGACTGGGCGCCGGGCTCCAGTTGGCGCTACCACTAGAGGGACCTCCACCCCAGGTCCCGCGGATCCAGTGCAGCGGCTGCACCCTAGGGCGATTAGTGGGTGCTTAGCCTGGAGGTGGGCGGGAGGGGCGGTATCCGAGACTCGGGAAGAGGCTGTCCTGCAGTCTTCAGGACAAACTCAATTTGAACGAGATCGCTGGCGGCAGGCAGCCCAGACATCCAAAGGGTGGCTGCTCCCGGGTGCCTTTCTAATCGGTTTTGCTAGAGCTTCTCTTTCTGCACAAGTCTCCATGCAAATTTCTGCTTTCTCGCTTTCGTTCCTGAAGCCCAGGAGCGGTAATTAACGGGCCCAAGGGACTGGGAGCCGGAAGGGTGCAGGGGGCGGTGACACGAGGGGCGTGGCTCTGGGAGGGGTGTGGCCACGGGGGCGTGGCTTCCAGGCAGGCAGAGGCGGGGCTTGGGGGACCCCGCGGCTGTCCGGGGAGGCGGGGACGGGGCTCAGACAGGTTCGAAGGGGCGGGGTAGACGGGACGGGTCCTGGAGGAGCGCGAACCCCTGACTGACTGGTCCCGGCTAGCCGCCACGGGACCCAGACTGAGGGGGAGCGGTGGAGGGGCGGTCCCAAGGAGGGGTGCGGGGCGGGGGCAGCCGGCGCTCCGGGACTAGTCTCCCGCGGGTCCCCGCCCCCGTCACGTGGGCGCCAGGCCGGGCCGCTGCCGGTCGGTCAGTGCGCTGGTTGGTCGGTCAATTGGTCGGTGGGTCAGTGGCCTGCAGCGCGGTTTCTCGCCTCTCATGTTCGAAGGTGGGAGGGACGCGAGAGCTGCCCGCACACCTGAGCCGCCTGGAGAGAAGCCCCGCATTCAGGTCAGTGGGCTCTCCTCATGCCTCTACCTCCCCCCTGCGCGTTCCATATGGGAGCCCCAGGTGAAGTGTTTCCCGGGGATCCAGGAGCCCCGCCAGTCCATTGGTGGTAGTAGGAGGTGGCGGGGGCTCAGGGAGTCACAGCCAGACGGATCTCAGGATCTGTCCCAGGAGCGAAGACGGGACCTTCCTCCCCTTCGCTGATCAGAAGGATAAGTCCGTCAGGATTTGCTTCTCTCCACGCAGCCTGCCCAGGATCTCCGGACTGTCGGCCAGGATAGGCGCCCCGATGGTCCTGGAGATGCGCAGGCGAGTCCCCCTAGTTCTCTGCGGGATGTTGGGAGCGCTGAGATCCGCGGAGCCCGGAAGCTTAGGGTCCATATGGTACAGTGTGTATCCACATTCAGCCACTTGGCTGAGATCAACTCTACATTGTACCTGCTTTTCCCAATCCCACCGGGACTCCTCTAAGCTGGGAATGGTTTTAGCTTCAAGTGGGCTCCTCCTCTTATGACATCCCCATGCCTCAATCAGTTTTTCTCCAGTGGAAAATCAGATGATATAAAGACCAGAACTTCCTACCAGAACTTTGGGTGGGACTGCAACAGGCATCCTTCTAGCCAGTGTTTAATCGCCTTAAGAATCCAACCCAGATATTATATTTTTAATTTTAGAGCAGCTGGGTTTTTGGGATAGGTCCAGCTTCCTTTCCATATTTTTTTCCTTTCTTTTTTTCATCTCACTCTTTTCTCTCCCTGTTCCTTGATTGATATTAGTACAAATCCGAAGGGTTTTCAGATTTTATGATGCACGTCGTGATCCCAACCACAGAAAGGTAGCTGGCCATAGACATAATTTATTTTCAGCATGTTCAGTCTTAGATCATTTTCAGTAAGTGGAAATCACAAATGTTTTGTGTTTTTGGTTTGGGGGCCATCTCTGGCAGTACTCCAAGGCCGCTAGCATGGAGGTTGCTGCAGGCAGTGTTCTGGGCAGCACGTGGGGTAGTGCTTCATCATGCAAAGCATGTGTCCCTGCCCTTTGAGCTATCTCTCTTGCCCACAAAATGTATTTTGATGAAGAGATTATTTCTTTGCAGTTTCAGAGAGCCTTCCCCATTTGTATTCTCTCTGAATCCATGTTTCAATGATTTGGGTCGGAGATGATTGGTGAATTGTTCACTCACTGCAATCATCCATGATTTAGTATGTTGTTTTCATTGCTTTGAGACTTGATGTGCTGCTAGTTCTTAGCTTATTGCTAGAAAGAGACAAATTCAGTGTCATCATTCTTCACTGGGGTAGCTCTGGCCAAAGCACTGACTTTAAAGTAGAGTGAGGAAAATGATAGAGGTGAGAGCACATAATTGTGGGAATCCCTTTTTAATCTGTGCCGAGATAACTGCAAGAGGGGGTGACATGAGTAAATAATGTCACATAAAGGATTTTTTGTTTGCTTTTGGATCACATCCAGCAGTGCTCAGGACTTACTCTTGGCTATGCATTCAGGAGTCACTCTGGCAAAGCTTGGGGTACCATATGAGGTGGTAGGGATCAAACTCGGGTCAGCCACACACAAGGCAAGTGCCCTACCTGTGGTACTAGCATTCCAGCCCCCAAATCATTTCTAAAGGCTTCTTGCTGAGTTTCTGCAGGCAGAGGTATGGATTTTGACAGGGCACTGTTGAGGTCTCCCTAGGCAGGCGAGCACTGACTCAAGTGGCAGGTGGTGCTGGTCAGTTATCTGGTCACCAGGGTGAAACTTGGTGTTGGCAGGCCTCGAAAGCTGGACCTTTGTGTGCTGGTGGAAGTTAGCATTGTTGCCTTCCAGAAGTCTGGACTCAGAGAACATGGGAAGCTGTGGTGGTTTTATGTTTGTTGGTGTTTTGGGTTTGGGGCCACACCCAGTGGTACTCAGGATGTACCTGGTGGGCTCCTGCTGGGACTCTGGGCACCTGGTGCACTGTCTCTCTGGAATGATGGTCTTTACGAGAGGCTTGACTGATGGTTCTGTGAGCTGAGACTCAGGGGCTTTGGTCCTTGACCCTCCCAAACTCTTAACTCCCCTAGCCAGATTTGGACAAAGTCTAGTAAATATTTGTCGAACAACCGGACTACACTTTAGAACCAGGCTTCAGCTTTTAACAAGTTTAAGAATCACCTGGGGATATTGTTCAAATGCAGAGTCTGTTACCAAGGTCTGGGTGGGATAAATACCCAGGGTGGTGCCGACATGTTGATCTCATAAACAAGGATTAAGAGCAAACCCCAGATTCTGCCTTAGAATCTATAACTGGAGAGTTAAAATCAATCAATCAATCAAGCTGAGATGTTTTTACAAGTTCCCCAAGGCCACACTGGTGGGAGGGGGAGGGTCTGTAGTAGTGGCCTGTGCTGATTTTGCTGCAAGAAGCAGCGACCAAAGGGGAAATACACAGGAGATAGCTCACTGGTAGAATCACATGCTTTGAATGTGTGATCCCTGGATTTGATCCCTGGCACTGCCTGAATAGGGCCCCGTTGTCCGCCCACCCAGTGCTGAAAGGTATGGGCCTAATAATACCTGCGCACCCCCCCCCCCCCCGCAGGCAAGTACTACTAGGGTGTGTCTCCTTCACCCCCCAAACAAAATCAGAGGTGGAGGCATTGGAAGGTCGATCAAGATAGAAGTGATGAGGTCTAGGAGATAGCACCAATGGTTAGAACACAGATCAGAGGCCCCAGTTTGATTCCTGAATGTCAGGGTCCCTAAGTTCAGTCAGGAGTGTCCTGAGAACTGCCAAAGCAAAAAAGATGGAAGTGCAAGAACAACTTATTGACCCTGAGGGAGTGTTACAGGTCTCCGGGCAGTGGCTGGGGAAGCAGGCATGTCTGTGGATACTGAGTAGAAGGGCGAAAAGCGAGAATGGAGGAAAAGTGCACTCTGTCTTGGGGGATAAATATGGCAGGGGGTAAAAATTTGAAGTTTCACCTCACTGCCATGGATCTGCTCCCGATGCTCGCTGTTCAGAGTTCTCTGGCAGGTTCCCTGTTGCAGACTAGGAGACTCCCAGGAATGTAGCTAGTGAAGCAGTTAAACATGAAGTTCCATGGACTGCACAGCCCTGATCACGATATGCCACTTGGGAGAAATAAAACAAAGATGGGATGCTCTGTCTCCACTGGGTGTTCGAAGTCTTGTCAACTGCATGTTCTCCTGAGTCACTGTTCTCCCCCACATCCCCCTTTCTCCCAGCACTTCCCCTGCACGTTCCCTCGAGACCTGAGTATCTCTGTCTAAAGCTGGGCTGTGTAGACAACGAAAGCTACATTTTGTTTCCCCTTTCCCACAGTTTAGTCTGGCCTCACGCACCTGCTAAGCAACTTTCTGGGAGCTGCTTGCCCACAATAGCTTCAGGAAATTTCTGATCCTGTGGCTTATTCCTAGGTAATTCTTACTTTCATTTCCTCTCTCTGGCACACACATCGGTGCCCACAGAACTGAGCATTCATTGTGCACAGTGCTTTCATCGCTGTGTTCCATATACCTTTGACCTCTGTACCACATCTGCTGAGCAGGTCTGGACACATGGAATAGAGCTGCCTCTCAAAAGGCAGAGTGCAGGCTGGTGGGAGCCCCGGGTTGAGTCCATGGCACTCCACACTCCACTAACCACTGCTGGAAATGATTCCTCAGCGTGGGGTGGAGAGTTGCTCCTGAGCACAGCCAGGGCTGGAGTTGTAGCTTGGCTATGGAGCACTTGTCTTGCATGTTTGAGAGAGCCTCTGGGTTTAATCCTTGGTGTTGAAAATAAAGCTTGAAACTTTCCGGGGAGGGGATTGAGGAGGGAGCATGCTGGCGATGCTCAGGGTTGACTCCTGGCTATAAATTCGGGAATTATTTCTGGAAGTACTCAGGGGACCATAGATATGGGATGCTGGGGATTGAACCCCAGATGAACCACACGTCGGCAGGTGCCTTACCCTCTGCACTGTCTCTCCAGCTTCAAACCTGACATCTGATGATTATTCGAGGCTCTGCAGAGGCTGGCGAATTCAACTTGCCAGCAAACTGCATCTCCACTGTTCTTCAAGGAAGGAACTTAACAGTTTCTAGCTTTTTGTTCTCTGCTTTTGCACACACTCTTCCCTCTTCCTGGAAAAATCTCTTGCCTCTGCTGAGAGAGGAAAGAATCTTTTCAGCAGACAGGAATGTCCCTGCTCCAGTTGTACTCTTCTCTCTAAAAATGAAGGCACACAGCATCAAGGGCCCCATCTTGGCCTCAGTGGCTATGCCCTATATGCACAGGTCTCTGCCCACCTCTCCAGATTCAGAACTATTGCAGGGCTTCATCTGCCCTTGGGTGTTGCCGCGCAGGTCACAGATATCCAGGAGGAGTTCTTAGTAGATGTGGGCCTTAGGCTGACTGGTTTTGCAAAGTTGGCAAAAAGGGGAGGGAACCAGATTATTTTGCACCTGAGAAAAGGGAAGGAATTAGAGTGGAACCTGAAAGACAGGGAGGAAGAATCAACTGAAAGGCCTGACTGAGGTACCCAAGGAGGAGTAGTTCACTGGTTATATCACAGGGTGGGGTGGGGAGGGACTGCAGGAGAGGGGGAGAAAGGGAGAGAGAGAAGAGGGAAGATTGGTTGAAGTGAGCCTGGGAGCTAGTTCAAGTGGTAGAGCATACACCTATCCTGAAGAAGGCCCCAAGTTTGCTTCTCGGTATTGTGTGCTCCTACTCCCAGCATCACTTGGGAGCCTGTGTGGTCCCTATTTAAAACAGAGTTGAGAGCTGGAGAGGTAGACCAGGGATAGACCGCACTTGCCTTGCATGAAGCCAACTTGACCCAGGTTCTAGTTGGCCCAGGTTTAATCCCTGGCACCACATATGGTCTCCTGAGCACCGCTAGGAATGATCTCTGAGCATAGACCTGAGAGTAAACCCTGAGGACCACTGGATATGGCTCAAAAACAAAAGTAAGTTGAAAATAAAGATGTAAATTGTAAAAAGTGGTCTCTAT